CTTGACTACATTTTGATGTCATCGCTAACAAAGGGGGTGGAGTGGAAAAAAAGGTCAAGAAAAGAATATTGTGAAGTTGATGGATTTCGTCATTTTTTTTTTCGCTAAGGCAACAAAAGAATTACCTTTCCAGCTTTTAGCTGACTAACAAAAGACAAAATCCCATGTGTAGTCGGAGAATCGGTGTTTTCGAGTAGTACAAGTAACTGAGGTCGCCAATTTCTGCTATGTTGCGGCTTGTTGTCCAAGTTTAACAGAGCAAACCTAAACAGGAAATGATATAAGCTGTAAAGAAGGCAGTATGGGCCTCGTATTTACATACCTAGCTGCACTAAGACCCAAACCTCGTAGCCCATCACCCCATTCTTTCTCGGCACCCGCATACTCTATGTATTTATAGACTGCGGCACCAATAAAGATAGCAATAAGTGCGAAATGCCAAGCTGAGATGAACATCACAGCTACGCACAAAAATGCGCCAAGCATCGATAAGGACCTAAATGAGGAAGATTGTTTATTGTCCCAAAAATTCCTTATCATCTAATGAATTGAAACTTACCAGTGGAAATATCTGAATGATGGTCGCCATCCAGGTGATTTGAGCAATGATTGTAGGGCACATGCAGTATTCACTCCCAAATAACACATAAGGAAGAATCTAGAAGAGAAAAATGACATAAAATGACTATCGAGAGTTGGCGTACCAGACGATTCTTTAGTGGCATAGTGGTCGGTAAACTCGGAAATTTTCTAATCAAATCTTGGTAAACGAATGTAAATGCTCCATTGCAAATTATTTTTTATACCTGTTTAGATTTACTGATTGGTTAAGTATTTAAGTGCTTATATCTTTTGCAACTCATGGATTTTCTTTCGTTTTTTTAAAAGTATATTATGAATGATTTTTTTGCAACATTATATGTACTAACTCTGTTGCGAAGACAAAAAGTACAGTTAACAAAAGTTCACTTCAAAATTAGCAACTCATTTGGTGGAATATGTAAGCGATTCGCGTTTTTTAAACTTTACGCTTCTGTATTATATTTTTTTTTACGGGATTGACTTGCAATCATCAATTTGAGAGTTATAACATCACTGTTAGATTTACGATTCCCTTAATTTGTGTTAGACACATTCTTAGAAATTAAGTAGGCTAAACATGTGTTTTCTACTGTCATTCCCAGTTCTTTGTCAACTCTATACACTAAATGACTAAAGAGTTTTTTGCTACTTTGAAAAAAAGAATTAAGACTAATCAACGACGCGGAACTAATGTCAGATGAATAAATGTGAATGTCAGCAGATAAAATTTGGCCGCTTTTTGCTAAATTAACACACTTCTTATTATAGTTAATTGCATTTTG